GAGAACACCCCTCAAAGATGGGGGCGCGGGGGTCACCTCGAGAGGCTCCTACAGCGACTATGCTCTTCTCCGCTGCTAGGAGGGCCTTCTCGAGGCTGTCGGCTGTGAGGGTGGTGGGACAGACCGCGAGGAAGTGGTCCCGGACTACACGAAGGGAGTCAGGGAGGCGAGTGACTAAAAAGTAGAGAGTGATGTACATGGGGGGGGGGTTCTTGGCGCAGAAGTCAGCAGGAAGCGCAGCGCGGTAGCGAGTGTCACTAGTGCGGAGGTGCGTAATGAGATCAGCGATAGTGGGAAAGGCGGCAAGGTCAGGGAAGAGGAAGGGGAGCATGAGGCGGCTCAGTGCAGCAGTGGCAGGGGAGGAGTAGCGCGCAACTACAGCGTCGTACAAGGTCTGGGCACTCTTGTACTGGCTTAATTGCGCGCGCTCAGCGGAAGGCAGGTGGCGACGCACAGCAAGACGTGCAGCAGCATCGCGCGTGGCCCACTGTGAGCAAACAGTGGCGTCAGCATCAGCAGCAGGGGCAGGGACGGCGCCAGAGGTGAGGTCAAAGAGAGAAAGACCGTCTGCCCTATCGCACTGTAAGAACAGCTGCAGGTCGTCGACCCAGACCTCAAAGTCAATGGCGCGACCCTCAGCGTCAAAAGCTAGGACACTAGGGGTAGCCATGACGATAGACTAGCAGTGCAAGCAGTGCGGGAAGGGGTACGCAGTAGCAGTGGAGCTGGGCTCACCAGACAGGACGGGTCGAGCAGCTCAGCAGCACAGCAACACGGCAACACAGCAGCTCTGCCGGCCCAGTAGCAACAGCAGCCCCACAGGACCAGCAGCTCGGCTCCTCAGGCGGCTCGGGCGGCTCGGGCGGCAAAGGTGGCTCGGGCAGCTCGGCTCCTCAGCTGCGTAGGCGGCTTGGGCGGCTCGGGTGACGCGGGTGGCACGGGCGGCTCGGGTGTCGAAGGGCCGGGACAGCGTGGCGGGAGGGCGGCTGGGAGCGGGACCGGGGTGGGCGGCTCACGGGTGGCTCGGGACCGGGACGGGCGGTTCACGGGCGGCGCACAGGCGGCTCACGGGCGGTTCACGGGTGGCTCGGGGCCGGGACGGACGGCTCACGGGCGACTCACGGGCGGCTCACGGGCGGCTCACGGGCGGCTCACGGGCGGCTCACGGGCGGCTCACGGGCGGCGCTTCGGGCTGCAACGGGCGGCGCACGGGCGGCTCACGGGCGGCTCACAGGCGGCTCACGGGCTGCGCTTCGGGCGGCTAAGGGCGGCGCACGGGCGGCACGTGGGCGGTTAAGGGCGGCGCGCGGGAGGAGCGTGGGCGGCCTGAGGCCTGGCGAGCGGCGCGCGGGCGGCTAAGGGCGGCGCGTGGACGGCGCATGGGCGGCCTGGGGCCGGGCGAGCGGCGCGCGGGCTGCTTAGGGCGGCGCGCGGGCTGCTTAGGGCGGCGCGCGGGCTGCTAAGGGCGGCGCGCGGGCTGCTAAGGGCGGCGCGCGGGCTGCACGGGGCCGGGACGGGCGGCGCGCTAGCGTCTAGGGCGGCGCACTGGCGGCGTGAGGCCTGAACGGGCGGCGCGCGGGCGGCTAAGGGCCGGTCGACAGAGGTAAGAGAGAGAGCCCGGAGCGCGCTCCGGGTAAAAAAAAAAAAGTTCGAAGTAGTGGTGGGCCCTAAGCACAGTTCCCACAGGGGAACCTGCTCGATACCATGAGAAGAATAGAACGAGAATGAAATGACTATGAACGAAGTGAGTACAAATAGGAAACCCTAATTGGGTTGTAGTCCCTATGGGATACCCCACTATAGCCTACACAAATAAGTAAGCTATAATGTTCTAACATTGTCATGTTGCCCATAACATTGTGGACGGGGGCAGTCTGGGGCGACTGCTGCTGCTGGTGCTGAACTGCTGGGTTCAAGTTGCGGGTGGGGGTTGGTGCCCCTGGGCTTGACGCGTGTCGTTTCGTGCATCTTGTTGGCCGGACCAGGTGCTCGGGGTGGTCTAGCGAGGGCGAGATCGGAATTTATATGGATCTGCCAAGTGCCCAAAAAAATCTGCAAATTTTGCAGTAAAGGCACCGCGGCCGTCGCTCCTCTGTGTTGTCGGCGTAGAAGGCGAGGCGTTCCCGGTCTCGTCGCGGCGCTGGTCGCTGCTGGTCCATATCCCTTTGTTCGACGAGAATGGCGGCGCATAGGGCGGCCTCCGAGATGACCCCCTGCTGTCGGAGCAGTGCCTTGCAGGGCCGCCATTCCGGGCCGAGCCCTTGAAGCACGATATTTACGAAAATCTCCTCAGAGATCGTGCTTTCCAGTTTCGCGATCTGATCGCGTAGGCTCGGACAGCGGTTGATGTAACTGTTGGCTTCTCCCCTGGGGCCATTTTAGTCTCCAGTAGTTGCTGGAGCAGGCGGCTCGATGAAACCGAATCGTTCGGTTGGTACACGCCGTTCAGGTGGCGCCAAGCGTCGAGGGCTAGATGTGAGAGTACGACGACTTATGCCAGCTATGCTTGCTTGCCTCTACTTTATCATGTTATTTCTAGCATAGGATAATCATATGCATGCATGAATTGCTTGATTTCCTAGGCTAGGTGCTTTCCTATATTTTATGATAGTTATAGCACCGAGCTAGGTTGCGTGCACCGAATTCTGGCTTTTCGGTTGCCACCGAATTGCCTTCTACCGAATTCGGTAAGGATCTGTTCGGGACGCTTCGCGACCCGCGGAACCTTCGCGTAACACCTGGTTACGGGGCCTTGTGTCGAGCCTATATATAGCCTCGTGTTGTACCCATGTGATCATTCAATTCAATTTGAATCATCTTTTCTGAGCTCGATCCCAGATCCTCACACTAGAGCTGAGGTCGTTTTGTACGGACGAATGCTCAAATGCTCCGCCGGCGACATGTTCCGCAGGAGGACGCCGTACGCCATCAACGTCTCGTCGTAGTACTGCGCCCGAGCGTTAGCGGTATCCTCAGCGGGTCTCGGGTAGCTCCCGTCGAAATAATGGAATATCTGCGCGTTTTGCAGCAGCGGCTCCAACTCGAAGCTCCACGTATAGAAGTCTCTGCCGTCAAAACACACACTTGTCTTTATTTTTTATATGCTCAAAAACCTTGATTGCGCAGAGAGAATTGCTTCTTCGCTGGGACGGGGAATTTTGGGAGTTGGGCCATTTGTGTTGAGGGAGAAGGTGTGTGGGGCGGTATTGTGGCCGTTCGAGGCCAGTGTAGAGGGTTGGGAAGAAGTTTCCGCGTCGCCATTCGGCAATGTTTGGAGTCCTTGCTCCAAGCTGGTGAGTCGCTGAAGCAGTTGTGTGAGGACGGCGGTTCCAATCCTTGTCGTTTCCTCGCTTGTCGCAGCCGGGTTGGGTTGCGCTTCAGCCGTCAGATTCATCTGACCTCCAGATCCTCCGGCCATTCTCACACGCGAGCGTGTGCCGGACGCCACTTTCCGTTCGTCGAAGATTTTGGAGGTGGCAGTGCGAAGGATTCCCAAGTCGCTCTCATACCATGCTGCGATCAGATGTTGATCGTCCCTAGGATCACCTCAGGAAGGTTCGCACACGTCTGAGTAGTGGTGGGCCCTTGACCTCAATAGCAGAGTGGATGTAAAATGGTTGTAATAATAAGTACAGGAATATAAATAAGAGTACAAGGGATTCAAACCGTCGTAGGCTAGCCATGTACTCTAAGTGGTACATCCCCTTATTGCAGCGAAACTCAACCAAGCGACTCCAGACGGTTACGGACTGCCTGGGCAGAATCCTCGCCACTACTGCTGCCTGATGTTGTCTGCCCGGCGGTCCAGATCTTTCCGTAACCGTACGACCCTTCGCGTCACTTCCGCCCTTTCGTCTTCAGCCTCAGTAGTGCGTGCTTCGATTGTTGCGGTAAGGAGTGCACAGTAATGCTTCATCTTTTACTATTCGTAACACCCATAACAAGAGTGGTAGGTGGGACGTGTTCTCCAAGGATAGCCTATGTGATCCTCAAAATACAGCGATCTTTGGTTGGGTGTAGAGTAACACCCTCCAAACCATGCTATACTTGTTTGCATTTGTCGCGTGGTGGGATTTGCCTGCCACGTTTTTGGGGTTCGGTTAAAATCATCAGCGCGCTAATTTCAAGCACTGCAACCAATACACCCTCTTTCTCGCCATTGTGAATTCGGTTATAGTGAAGTCAAGATGGGAAAAGCACGGTTAACGGTGGTTAGATTAAGTCTAGGTATGGTTCAATCAGACAGATCGAAGGTAACTAGGTTTTCCATCAGTTCAGCACAGTTCAGTGTAGTGAGAAAGAGGGTGTACCCTCGCTTGCTAGAACGTCGCGGAAGAGGTGTATTTTGACTGCCGCACCAACCAGCAGGCTCCACGGGGCGACTTGGCCAACCTCAGGCGCCAGTGGGAACAGAGTCAGCGCAGTATTGGTGGATCCCCTCCCCAGGTTGGTGTGTTGGGTTGGGGCGCCTTGGTGACGTGTTTTCGCCCCGCCACCCCGCATTCGGAGACATGTGACAGTGACAGGGTTTCGACTTATCCCCAATCACATCCAGAGCAAATTCCTCTGTCGCAGGCAAAGTTGAATCTGGAGCCAGAGGGAAGAGCGCGTGAGTAGAGCCGGAAAAGCACATCGCGTTGCGAGGAAGGTTGTACCGTGAGGAAGGCGTGAGTGTACAGGATGAGCGACGGGCCAGGAGGACTCGGGAGCAGATTGAACCATCTCTCTCTGAGCTTGAGTGAGGGGCTGTCGAAACCCTAGTCTTATTCTTTCATGAAGCGGAAATTCCGTCACGCGCATCACGTGACGATGCAGTGTAGCGGCCTTTCTTTTTTGGGCCAACCTAGTAGGTCACACAGACCTCGAAGATTAGGACTTATCTCGATGAAATGGCTGCCAACGTTGTGTTACTACTTGTCATTTTCCAATAGACCACAACTGATTAGGGCTGAACCGGTGTAACTGCCACCGCAACTCCTACTCAGCACCTGCTTTCTCCAATGGCGGAGGCGCCACCTCGCTCGCTATTCCATCCGATCAAGGTGGGCCGTCAGAGTTGCGTCCCTACCACTCTCTGCTCACTTCGTTCGCCGCGTCGCGCACACCATTTCACCCTTCACGTGTCACGACCCGCCCTGCCGTTCTGCCCACGGCCTTCTCATCTCTCTGTGCGCTCGTCGCGTCGCAGGTGGGCGACGTGCACGCGGCGGAGATGGACCGCCTGCGACTCGACCTGTGGGCGGCGCGCATAGAGTGCAGCGAGTTAAGGGGTCAACTAGAGGTGCGTCAGGGGCAGGCGCTGCCGTGCCTTGTGGTGCAAACCTTCGCTGGTCCCGCCCTGATCATCACGCCGTCACTACTCGTCGTCCTCCCGCGTGGCTCATCCTCCTGCCCCTTGTAGCCCTCTCCCCCCCCGCCATCCTCCTCCCATCCCCACCGGGCCTGCCTCCCAACCCCTCCCCCGGGCGGGGCTTGCAGGCGCGGTCGGAGCGCGTGCTGGAGGAGGAGCGCCTGGCGGGCGCGAGGGGTGCGCGCGAGGAGGCGCAGCGCCAGGTGGAGGAGGCGCGGGGCGAGGCGGCGGTGGCGAGGCGGGAGGCGGAGCGGGCGAGGCGGTATCACGAGGAGGAGGTGGCCGTGCTGCTCGGCGCGCACCGCGACAAGGAGGCGCTCTGGCAGCGCAAGGTAGCCGCGGGGAGCAAGGCAGCCGCGGGGGGCAAGGCAGCCACGGGGGGCAAGGTAGCCGCGGGGGGCAAGGTAGCCGCGGGGGGCAAGGTAGCCGTGGGGGGCAAGGTAGCCGCGGGGAGCAAGGCAGCCACGGGGGGCAAGGTAGCCGCGGGGGGCAAGGTAGCCGTAGGGGGCAAGGTAGCCGTGGGGGGCAAGGTAGCAGAGCCCGTCCAGAGGTGAGCGTGGAGTGTGTGGTGAGGTGAGTGCAGCATGGCAAGGGTAGCGCCCCAGGGCCTACCTGCAAGCGCAGGGGTAGCGCCCCAGGGCCTACCTGCAAGCCGTGCGTCATGCACGCCTGAGCAGCTTGTGGAGCAGGCCCTCCTCACGCATCCGCTCTCGCTGTGCCTTGTCTCGCCATTGCCTCTTCACATGTGCTTCACCGTCACTCGCTGCCTCTTGCGCCCACTGCCTGTGTGCGCCCATCCCCTGGTCTCTATGTGCACACTCGCGCGCGTGTGTGCGGCGCGGCAGGAGGTGGAGCTGGAGCACGAGCTGCGCCACCTGCGCCACCGACTGGCAGACGCACGCAACGGTCAGTGCCGTCACTCTCACCTGCCCCATGCCTTCTCACCCTGCCACCACGCGCTACCCCCTCGTGCCCTCGCCCGCCATCAATCCCACCGTGTCCTCCTTGACTACTGCTCATCCCTCCAACGCGCGTTCTCCCCCCCCTCCCCTCCCCCTCTTGCATCATCCCTGCAGCGCTGTGTGTGGCGGAGGCATGTGCGCAGGGCGCGCGGGAGGACGGCAGCAGTGCCACGGCCCTGCTGCGCGGGCAGCTGGCGGGGGCGCTGCGGGCGGCGGCGGAGCGGGAGAGGGATCAGGAGGAGGCGATGCAGTGTGTGGATGGCGAGCTGGCGCGGCTGCAGGGGCAGGCGGACGCCGCCGCGCAGCGCGAGGAGCTGGCGGCGGCGCTGATCGACCGCCTGCATGCGGAGAACAAGGCGCTCAGAGGCGCGCTGCATGCTGCACACGCGGGCGGGCGTGGCAGCATGGTGGCGAGCAGGGGGCGCGTGGAGCTGGAATGCAGCAGATTGCAGGCAGCACAGGGCGAGGGTGGAGACGTGGGGGAAGGGAGGTCCGTGCAGCAGGTCCCAGGAGGAGTGGCGCGGCGAGATATGGTTGAATCCAGAAGATCACAGGCCCCACATCCTGATGACACTGGCCGTGGCGGTGGAGGTGGTGGTGCAGGGGGTGCAGAGGAAGCAAGGCGTGGCTGTGACGACCGGGGTGGAGCTGGTGGAGCGCATGGTGGGCAGGCTGCGGCAGGTGCAGGGGGGTCAAGGCGAGTAGGGGGGGCAGAGGTGCAGACCGGCAGCAGGGAGTGGAGGGAGGGGGGTTTGTGTGGTGGTGCATTTAATCAGGGAGCGTGGCTGAGTGCTGTGGAGGGGGAAGAGCCTGAAGGCCCACCGGAGCAGTGGCGTGAGAGTGGTGGCAGTGAGCAGTGTGCGGCACACGCTGACAGCGCTTGCGGCATGGAGGAGCAGTGCGGCGGCGAGTACGAGTCGACGTTCACGCTGCCGGTGCCCCGGCAGGGCGCGTGGAGCCGCGCCAAGGAGGCGGCGGCGCTGTACTATGCGGGGATAGCAGGTGAGGAGGGCGAGCAGGAGCAGCGGGAGAGGCAGCTGGAGGAGGTGCTGGCGGAGAACGCACGGCTGGAGGAGCAGCTCAGAGCGTTGCAGGCGCAGGTGGCGGGGGCACAGCGCGCGGTGGCATGGCAGGGGCGGCTGCGGCAGCGCGTGCTGCAGCTGCGGGTGTGTCTGGAGCTGACGAGCAAGGTGGTGGACGTGAAGGACCGCGCCCTGGAGCTCGCCGTGCACCGCGCCCGCTCCGCTGAGGCCCGCTGCGCCCACTTGGACCGCCACCTGCTGCCTTCCGTGAGCACTGCTGCCCCCGCTGCCCTGTGCGAGTGCGGCAGCCCCCAAGCTGCGAAAGGGGCAGATGGCTGTGAGGGCATTGTGGATGCGGGGCTGCAGAGAAGGTGCGCGGTGGCGGCGACTGGGACTGTGGGCGAGGATGCGCCAGGGGTGCAGCACGGAGGCGAGGCAGGTGCGGCGTCAAGGCATCGGGAGGGTGGCGCCCAGGAGGAGGGCAGGCTGGATGGCGCAGAGGAGGCGGGCGTGTCAGTGCCGGAGGCGGGTGGTGAGCAGTGCGTGGTGGCGACGGTGTCCACTGGCAGCTCAGGCCGGGCCGGCATGCGTCGCAGGAGCAGGGCGCACATGCAAGGCGGCAGTGAGGCGAGCGGAGAGGAAGAGGAGTGGCCAGCGGTGGGGCTGCAGGAGCTGCAGGCGAGGCGGGACGCGCTGCTAATCGCCATGCACGGGCTGCGGGAGCGCGCAGCCCTGGCTGCAGAGACGCGGCTGCGAGCGGCAGCGGTGATGGGGCGCAAGGGCAAGGACAAGCGCGGTGAGGTGAGGGAGATGCTGGCAGCGGTGGAGAGCGAGGCAGACGAGGCGCGTGTGCTGATTGAACGCTCAGAGAGGGTGGTGGCCAGGATGGCCACACTGGAGCGACGAGGAAAGGTCCTGGAACGCAAGATTGAGAGCAAGCGCCTCCAACTAGTCCATTTGGAAAATAAGTTTCACCTGGCTCCTGAACCAGCTGGTGTTAAGGTGACTTGCTTCTCGTGGAAGTTGCGATTTATTTAGCGTCACATTTTGTTTAATATCACATACAATGCATTCACAATCAGCAGTGACACACACACATGCAGGGCTAGGATTCAGGACATAAAGATCCCAAACCTTCAGTATGTGAAGTGTCTTGTTAGACAGTAGTACCGTCAGGACCAGGGCTAATTTTATCAGTGTAAATCACCCTGATACTCTGATTATCAGGGTGGTTTTTGGTAGTCATACTGATGGCCTAGGGTAAATTTTTGTGGAGCTAGGATTTTCCTTATATGCCAGGGCCCAGGGTTTACATTTAAAACCCGAGGTCAGCATGGTAAATTTTCAAGTTATGTGGGGTTGAAACAGTCTGGCGAAAATAATAATATCGTGTATTTCGGAAATGTGTGTGGGGCGAAAGTGAATTCAGGAGGCGGGTGAAACAGCCTTCGCCAGGATACTACGGTATGTGATAGCTGTTTCCAAGGATATAGGAGGGCCGAACGACTCTGCGGCCCTGTTCGGTAGCCCCCACAGTCACACTGCGGTTGGTGCAGGTGCTCTTCCTCGGCCCAATTTCGACTCACCTTAAAGCCCACCGGACCGTTATTAGAACACCATACCTGCCCAGTGCAAATTGGCTACCGAACGCGTGAAAACCCCAGTCCGAGTGAAGTTGAGGACGCTACCACGAGAATGCTTGCTCAGGCAAGCTCGACCGCCAGTGAAAGTCAACCCCATTTCTGCTTTCCAGTTCCACTGAGGCAGGCCCGCTCTGAGTGGCACGCTGTAGGGTAAATGCTGCATTAGTTTCGAATCAGGTCAAATTATGTTTTTCAGCTCGCTCGTTCAAATGATGAGAGATCGTGCGCGTTCGTGATTTTCTTTTATCCATATCGAGGGTGTTTCATTTGGTGGGCTGTTTTGTGTTTGTGAGTTGGGCAGCCTCGTACAGAAGTAAAAGTTTCGACCGGTAATTTATCGAGAAACACCCGGTACCGGTAACTTCTTGCATTTGTGGACGAGACTTCCTTTCAGTGTGAGTGGACGCCCGAGGATACGAAACATGTCGTAGGCTTCCCCAGTTCGAGTGGGCCCAGTGTGACTGGAAGGCTACCGAACAGGGCCCGTGTGTGACAGACCACTGCTCCAGCCCCACCACTGCTGCTGGCGCTTCTCTTGGGGTTGAAATCGTGGGCAACGCGAAACTCACGCGAGTGAGAGTAATGCAGTACACTGAACACTATTTTAACAATTTCTAATTTACTAAAATATCTGGATGCTTTTGAGACTTCACTTCAGAAAAACACAACATTTCAAGTACTGATTAGGTGCAGAAAAGCATTGCAAGCAAATTGTGAATAAAAAAAAATGAAATATCAAGAAACGCATTACCAATACATTTTGGGAACGCACTCTCTCAAGCTCAGATCCCTCAACTCATAAGGATCTCGGCCGGCCACATATCGACATGCCGTGCTGGTCCCTGCACCACTCTGCACTCCCCCGGCCCACAGCAGCGCAGACCTGACGTGCGCTGCCGCCATCATTTCTGCCAGCATGGTCTGCCCCCTCCCGCATCAATGCTCCGCGGCATCCTGCTGGGCAGCAGGGGGGGCTGAAGACAGTTTCGGGAGGAGGCTGCCTCACAGCTCCGCCAGCAAGCCTCAGGGCAGATCCACTCGAAGATCTGCTGGATGCGGTGCTTCGGTGGCCTGCCACGAGGAAGAGGGGGAGCAGAGGGGGAGGGAGTGGGGAGAGAGTGATGCTCATCACTAGTGCCAGGGGATCCAGTCATCGAAGAACTTCTGCATGCGCGTGCGTGTTGCTATGCACCGTGTAGAGAAGGGAAGGGGATGGGAGGAAGCAGGGAAGGGGATGGGGGGAAGCAGGGAGCGGGATGGGGGGAAGCAGGGAGCGGGATGGGGGGAAGCAGGGAGCGGGATGGGGGGAAGCAGGGAAGGGGATGGGGAGAAGCAGGGAAGGGGATGGGGGGAAGCAGGGAAGGGGATGGGGAGAAGCAGGGAGCGGGATGGGGGGAAGCAGGTAAGGGGATGGGGGGAAGCAAGGAGCGGGATGGGGGGAAGCAAGGAAGGGGATGGGGAGAAGCCTGGCGGAGGGAGGGGGGAAGCAGGGTGAAGGGAGGGGGGAAGCTTGGCGGAGGGAGGGGGGAAGCAGGGCGAAGGGAGGGGGGAAGCAGGGAAGAGGGAGGGAGGAAGCAGAGCATAGGGAGGGGGGAAGCAGGGCGGTGGGAGGGGGGAAGCAGGGAGGAGGGAGGGGGGAAGCGGGGAGGAAGGAGGGGGGAAGCAGGGAGGTAGGAGGGGAGAAGCAAGGAGGAGGGAGGGGGGAAGCAGGCGGAGGGAGGGGGGAAGCAGGGTGGAGGGAGGGGGGAAGCAGGGTGGAGGGAGGGGGGAAGCAGGGTGGAGGGAGGGGGGAAGCAGGGCGAAGGGAGGGGGGAAGCTTGGCGAAGGGAGGGGGGAAGCTTGGCGGAGGGAGGGGGGAAGCAGGGCATAGGGAGGGGGAAGCAGGGCAGAGGGAGGGGGGAAGCAGGGCGGAGGGAGGGGGGAAGCAGGGCAGAGGGAGTGGGGAAGCCTGGCGGAGGGAGGGGGGAAGCAGGGTGAAGGGAGGGGGGAAGCTTGGCGGAGGGAGGGGGGAAGCAGGGCATAGGGAGGGGGGAAGCAGGGCGGTGGGAGGGGGAAAGCAGGGAGGAGGGAGGGGGGAAGCAGGGCGGAAGGAGGGGGGAAGCAGGGCATAGGGAGGGGGGAAGCTGGGCAGAGGGAGTGGGGAAGCCTGGCGGAGGGAGGGGGGAAGCAGGGTGAAGGGAGGGGGGAAGCTTGGCGGAGGGAGGGGGGAAGCAGGGCATAGGGAGGGGGGAAGCAGGGCGGTGGGAGGGGGAAAGCAGGGAGGAGGGAGGGGGGAAGCAGGGCGGAAGGAGGGGGGAAGCAGGGCATAGGGAGGGGGGAAGCTAGGCAGAGGGAGGGGGGAAGCAGGGCATAGGGAGGGGGAAGCAGGGCAGAGGGAGGGGTGAAGCATGGCATAGGGAGGGGGAAGCAGGGCACACTGATGCCTTAGGGTTACCGTTCTTCATAACGAGTTTTACCCTGAAGCGAGTACCATACCCCCCCCTCCCCCCTTTCCCGTAACCTGGGATTCCCAATTGCCAACTATCGAAACAGGAATTTCAGCCTCTTGCCAACTGTCAAACATTAGCAGTTTGTTACATATCATTTCACCAGGGTTTGCTAAACTGCTACACTGATGCCAGAGGGTTTGATTTTCAAAAACAAGAAAAACATTGATGGATCAGGATTTGAAAAAGGTGTCACACTGATAATCAGGTTTTTTCACTTGTGCAACACTGATCACAAGGGTTGCTCAAAACCAAAAATTAGCCCTGGTCAGGACTCAGCAGGGTCAACTTCAGCACAAATGACTTGTCTCGCTTTAAGACAGGTTCTTAGCCCCTTGTCTTAGCGTCAGATCAACCTGTCGTGCTGTCTAGAATTTGAGAGAGAGGGAGGGAGTGGGGAAGGGAGGGGGGGAGGGAGGGGGGGAGGGAGGGGAGGGAGTGTCAAACCATATCTGTGCTAGTTGTGTGTAGACTATAGTGGGGTAGCCCATATTGAGTACAACCCAATATTAGGGTTAGTACTTGTACCCACAATTCATTCAATGCAACCATTCCTGCTTGCTATCTTGACATGGTTTCAGAGCAATAGGTCCGTAGGACGTTTTTTTTTTTTTTTTTTTTTTTTTTTTTTTTTTTTTTTTTTTTTTTTTTTTCCGAGCCCCACCATACTTAGCAACTGTCTGTAGTTACCGCGTTTCCCCACTACCCTGCGTCGCGCTGCCCCGCGCACGCCCTACCCTGCCCTGCGTCGCGCTACTCTGCGCACGCCCTGCCTTGCCCCGCGTCGCGCTACCTCGCGCATGCCCTGCCCTGCCTTGCCTCACGTCACCCTGCGCCAGGGCCCTGCCCTGCGCCAGCGCCCTGCCCTGCGCCAGCGCCCTGCCCTGCGCCGGCGCCCTGCCCTTCGCCAGCGCCCTACCCTGCGCCGACGCCCTGCCCTGCACTGGCACCCTGCCTTGCGCCGGCGCCCTGCCCTGCGCCAGCGCCCTGCCCTGCGCCGGCGCCCTGCCATGCGCCAGCGCCCTGCCCTGCGCCGGCGCCTTGCCTTGCGCCAGCGCCCTGCCTTGCACCAACGCCATGCCCTGCGCCAGCGCCCCGCCCTGCGCCTGCGCCCTGCCCTACGCCCGCGCTGCTGCCCTGCGCGTCGCGCCCTACGGCAGTGCGCGAGTCACGCGTTGCTGCCCCGCGCGTCGCGCTCTGCTGCAGCCCGCGCGTCGCGCCCTGCTGCCCCGCGCGTCGCGCCTTGCTGCCCTGCACAGCGCGCGCCTTGCTGCCCGCGCCGCCCAGGCCAAGCCGAGCTGCCCTACCCGACCCGATCCGCCCTGCTGCTCGTGCTACTGCTGCTGCTGGTGGAGGTGCTGCTAGGAGTGCTGGAGGTGATGCAGCCTAGCTTCACCGAGCCGCTCTGCTGCTCTTACTACTGCTGCTACTCCTCGTGCTACTGCTTTCACTCCGTACTGCCCTAGAGGTCGCGCTCCTCTTAGCGTGCCCGCCATGACTTCACTCTCTAGTAGCGGTGGGAGTTGTGAAGGCGGTGGTGGTAGCAATGGGAGTGGTGGCGGCCGTAGTAGCAGTCACTGTGGCGCTGTTTGGTGCGGAGTTTCTGGCGGTGGCTAGATGCAGCTACGGTGGCGTCCGACCCTTACGTCCCAGTAGCTTCATGAGTGGTTTTACCAGCGTGGTTTTACCACAGCTTCGACGACCTGTGCGAATGACTTACGGGCAGCGACCCTGTCCCTTACTCAGGTGCTTCCCGCTGATTCTTTCGCAGCAGTATCGCACAAACGCCACTCCGTCCACCTGTTGCAGTGTCTCTGGCTGACCCCTTAGGGGGCCCAGTTCTTGCACGGTCCACCACTATGCTTCCGTGCCCGGTGGTTCCGTCTGGCTCACTGACAGGTTTTCACCTCCCCTCGTTCTCTACGAACCTGGTGAGCAATGCCATCCTCCAGGATGCATGGATTGATACCTTTACCCCTGGAGAACAGCGTGTGGCGGTCTGTACATGCTCCCGAACTGGCCGTCACCTGGCCACGTTCACCCGTCGGCCAGGGTCGAGTCTTTACACAATGACTACTGCGTCCCCTCAGGTAGCTGCTACCGGTCAGGTGTCTACGTCAGGTCAGGTAGCCTCCCCTTGTTTGTGTCGCTCCCTGTCGCACAGAACTCTTCTCTGGCACCACCGCCTGGGTCACCCCTCCTTGCCACGTCTCCGTGGCATGCACCGTCGCCTCCTAGTGTGTGGTCTTCCCAGGTCTCTCCCTCCCCTCCATGCCTCCCCTGCGCCACCCTGCCTTCCTTGTGTCGAGGGGCGGCAGCGCGCAGCTCCTCACTCCTCGTTTCCCCCGATAGAGGCTCCTCTGCAGACCCTCCACCTGGACGTGTGGGGCCCAGCCCGCGTTCATGGACAAGGCGGTGAGCGGTACATTTTGCTGGTTGTCGACGACTACTCGCGGTGCACCACGGTCTTCCCCTTGTGGACCAAGGGTGAGGTCCCTGCTATCCTAATCCCTTGGATCCGAGCAGTTCGTCTTCAGCTCCACCGGAGGTTCCGCCAGGACCTTCCTGTCGTGTGTCTGCACTTTGACAGAGATGGTGAGTTCACCTCTGACCTCGTGCAGGCCTTCTGTCAGGGGGAGGGCATCGAGCAGTCCCTTGATGGGGAGGGCACCCCAGGGTGAGTTCACGCTTCCGAAATCACCGCAGCAAAATGGGGTTGCTGAGCGCCGCATTGGCTTGGTCATGGAGATTGCGCGCACCTCCTTGATCCATGCGGCGGCTCCCCATTTTCTGTGGCCGTTTGCGGTCCGGTACGCCGCGCAGCAGCTCAACCTCTGGCCCCGTGTCTCCTTGCCGGAGACCTCGCCCACACTGCGTTGGATGGGAGAGGTTGGCGATGTGTCGCGTTTCTGAGTCTGGGGTGCTCGTGCCCTTGTCCGCGATACGTCCGCGGACAAGCTCTCCTCCCGCACTATTCCCTGTGTCTTCCTTGGCTTTGTCCCTGACGCGCCTGGCTGGCAGTTTTACCACCCCACCTCGCGCCGTGTCTTCCCCTCTCAGGACGTCACATTTGACGAGTCGGTTCCTTTCTACCGTCTCTTCCCCTACTGCACTGCCCCCCTCCCTCCCCTTCCGCTTTTCCTTGCTCCAGGTCCCCCTCTGGTAGACCCCTTCCCCCCTCAGGGTCCTGCTCCTTCACGTGTGTCTCTGGTAGACCCACTCCCCTTGGCTGAGCCTGTAGAGGTCACTAGCGATTCAGGTGCTGCTGCGGGTGGTGCTGCTCGCGATACTGTGTCTGGGGGTGCTGAGCCTGTGCGTGAGGTGCTGGGGGGTGCGGAGCCTGGGGGTGCTGAGCTTGCGAGTGTGGAGCCTGGGGGTGCTGAGCCTACGAGTGTGGAGCCTGGGGGTGCTGAGCCGGAGGGTGCCGGGTCTGGGGGTGCTGAGTCTGGGGGTCTCTTTTCATGACGGGGGCCTCTCTCACCACAGCAGCTATGAGAGTAGCTTGCATGTCGTACCCGCCTGAGAAGTCGTGCTGCTGGAGGTGGAGGTCCTGCTGCTGGAGGTACTGCAGCTCGAGGTGCTGCGGTTGGAGCTGCTGGAGCTGCTCGTCGTGGAGGCGCTGGGAGTGCTGGTCTTTCTAGTTCTGGAGGTGCTCGTACTAGAGGTACTGGAGCTGCCAGAACGGGTGGTGCTATTGGAGAAGGAGGTGCTGGTACTGCTGGCGCTGAGGGTCCTGGAGGTGCTCGTCCTGGAGGTACTCGAGCTGCCGGGGTCCGTGGTACTGGAGGCACTGGAGCTGGAGACCCGCACGTTGGAGTTCGAGACCTTGGAGCTGGAGGTGTTGGCCTCGAGGTGCTGGCCCCGGAAGTACGGAGTCTGTTGGTGCTGAGCCTAGGGGTGCTGAGTTTGCTGGAGGTCCTCCTGGTGCCGCGTCGTAGCGGTCACCTCTCTCGCCGCAGCAGCTGCGCGAGTGGCTTGCTTCGCGCACCCGCCTTCGGAGTCGCGCTACTGGAGTTGGAGGCACTGCTGCTGGAGGTGCCGGAGCTAGAGGCCCTGGAGCTAGAGGCGCTGGAGCTGGGGACCCTGGAGCTGGAGGTGCCGGTTCTGGGGGTGCTGCTGCTCGGGGCATTGGAGCTGATTGCCCTGGAGCAAGTGCTGTCGACCTTGGAGTTGGAGACCCTGGAGCTAGAGGTGCCGGTTCTGGGGGTGTTGCTGCTGGAGGCACTAGAGCCGGAGGCCTTGGAGTTGGTCTTGTCAAAACTAGAGTAGGAGACCCTGGAGCTAGAGGTGCCGGTCTTGGGGGTGCTACTGCTGGAGACCCTGGAGCTGGAGGTTTCGGAGCAGCTGGAGGCGCTGGACCTGCTTGTGCTCGTCCAGGAGGTGCTGGAGCTGCCGGAGCTTGTGGTGCTGCGGGCTTTGGAGATGGAGGCACTGGCGCTGGAGGCGCTGGAGCTGGAGGCGTTGGAGCTGGAGGTACTGGAGCTGGAGGCGTTGGAGCTAGAGGTACTAGAGCTGGAGGTTCTGGAGCTGCTGGAGGCGCTGGAGCTGCTGGTACTCGTACTGGAGGTGCTTGTGCTGGTGGTACTAGTGCTGGTGGTACTACACAGCCGTAACTGGTCTTTGCTCCGCCTTTACCGACGTCTCTGCCACCGCCTGACTCCGCGCTTCGCCAGGTTCTTAGCCTCCCGTCTTCTACTGGTCTCCCGTTACAGCCAGGCTCTCCAATGCCTGCTCCTTCTCCTTACACTGAGCAGACAGACTTGCTTACAGAGCGTCGTGAGCCTGCGTCTCGTCCTGCCTTCCCTGTTCGCGCTCGTCGCACTGGTCGTCGTGTTCCTCGTGAGTGTTCTCCTCATGTTCCCGACACGCACACTATGGCACTTCGTCCTTCCTCTGTTCCACC